ATATATATATATCCATTCAAAATAAATTGTGTTAACATCAAGATGTTTCCAACTCAAAACTTGGAATTGCATTGAGTCACGGAACAAAACATGATCATAAGTTCTTAAGAACTTTTGGCATCTTCTTCTTGACTGGGTCATTTGTTTAACTTTGGAGGCTGGAATTGGAGGATTAAGTATTTGCTCACCAACATGATGTGACTGTCTGTGACTGACATCAGACAGCCTTTGTGTGCTATTTTAATTTTTAACTGATTAAGTCTATTAAAACTGAGGCTTTATATAAAGTTGTTTGCACTCAGAAAACATCAGAAATGGGAAGAAGGATGATACTGTTGTTTGTTTTAATTATGATTCTGCCTTTTCATGCTCCATTTCTTTTAAGCCTTGGGTCATCTGGAAGAATGAAACAGTAGACAGAGGGAAAGGGAGAGCAAAGCATTCTTACTTGATATCTTTGGAATTCGAATTTGTTCACTGCTGTTGCCATCTCCTCCATCACTGAATGGCTTGATTTCTATAATATAATCTTCATCAAAAGGTAAAGAAAGCTCCACTGATGTCTTATTCGTTTCAATGATGGATGTGCTGCTTTGCCTGTTCCATCTGTACAAGACCTGCCAAATGCAGAAAGCAGGTGTCATCTGCTGCTCTTACAAACGCTCAAAGGGTAGGTGTTTGCTTGGGTACTAATGAAATGCAGGACCATGAATGTGTTCTGACCACCTGCTCACATTGAGAGGGCTCATTTATAGTGAAGGCCATGTCTGCTGCTACCCTGACATGGAGCAAAAAGTTGTAAAAATACTCAGGTGGAAAAGGGAGCAGCATGATTCTACCCACTGGCAGTGTGGACATCTTTCATTCAGTTAACATATAATGCAATATAGAAAAATGAATACTTCTTAAGGATGCCTAGAGTCAGTGACACACCAAAGGCCTTGACATCAGAATAGACTTGGCTTTGTGTGATCATGGGTTGCTTACTTCACCTCTCTGGACTCCCTTCCCTCAACTACAAAATGGGGGCAATAATACCTGCTTTTCAAGATCCGGTAAAGACAATGCAGTAAGGGCCAGACTCAATGGAAGTATGTAAGAAAGTGTATCTAGGCAGGTTTAAATGGGGCAAGCCAAGCACCTACAGCAAGGGTTCCAAGCTAAAGAAACACCCAGCAGGTTATTATCGAGAACTTGTTTGAAAGAGCACACGTAGGGTTCTGAATGGAAAGGGGCATTTATCTCCACCCTTGCCCTCCTACTGGGAAGCCTTTTAGGAGTCACATAGAAGAAGCAATCAGTGCCTATCTGGAAATGTAGCTGTTTTCCTTTCTGGGCTTCCTGGGTGCTGAGATGGGGCTATGATTTACCTGATGAGGTGGCCGCAAGCTCACCTGAAAACACATTCACCTGCCTGGGACTGCATGCTCTCATGGGCCTTAACACAATCCAGAGCAAGATAGAAAGGCCTGGAAAAGTGTATCTACCATTGTGTGCACAGCAACAATCATGAGAATGACTCTCCTGCAGATTCTTTCTGATGTTTACAGGCAATTTATCAATGTCACCACAATCCCACAACATGGGTATTATCATGCCTTTTCACAGACAAGGAAAACGAGGCCCAGTTTCCTCACAGAGCTGGTAAGTGGCAGGATGAGGGCTCTTAAACCTACAGTCTTAAGTCATAATAGCCTACCTTCTTCCATTTCCTACAATGATGAAAGTGATGGAATTGGGTAAAACTCAGTGGTCCTCATCCCTGGCCACTTGTGGGCACTTAGAAAATACTGATGTTCTAACCCAGAGGTGGAGGGTGGGGAACAATTTTTTCCTGCAAGGATGTATTCATCATGTCTGCTGACATTTTTGATTGTCACAACAGATGCTACTTGTGTAGTGAGTAGAGACCAAGATAGTGGGTAAACATCTTACAGTGCTGAAGGCAGCCCCAAAACAAAGAACGGTCTTACTCAAAGTATTGGTAGGTAGAGAGTAATAAGTCCAGTCTAGTTCCACTCTGGCTTCCCAAGTAAGCACTTAGAAAGGTGGGGCTGTAGGCTGTGATTTTTTTTTTTAAATCTTCAGATGTTGTCAATGTGGGATGAGCATAATAGATTAGATTAACAAACCCAACAATACACCAGAATCACCCCAAACAGGTACTTAAAATAGTTTGCTCAGCACATCCCTGGAATTTCTGATTGCCTAGGTCAGAAATGGGACCTAAACTTTTACCTTTCTTACAAGTTCTCAGCTTACACCAATGCTGGTAGACCAGGGATCCCAGTCTGAAAAACACAAGACTAGCTCATGTTTCCCTAAGACCCCTATAAATAATGATCTACTGAGGTTAGAAACAAAGGTCACTCTTCTATTGCAACTCAAAACCAAACACAAGTGAGATTCATAAAATTCCCTTAAAATAGTTTAGATCCCATTTGTTCCCTGGCATTTCATCACCTTAATTTATGACTCTCTAATACGAGGTGGAAAACACAATTTCCTTAAGGTGGAAAGATTCACAAGCTCCCCTCTCCCCACTGTGGAGCATCAGCTGCACCAGGCTCAGCATCCCTTTGCTAATGATCAAGCACCAATAAATCTGTAGTCACATTCAGAAGTGTCAAAGCCTCTCATCCCAGCTCTTTGGGAGAATGGGCTAGCTGATGGGATGCAAGGTCACATCTGGCTCGGAGGAATAAATTGCTTCTTTGATTTACCTCTGGTCCTTGCAAGAGCTCAGAGAATTCGACTAGTTTCAAATATAAATCCCAAAGAAACATTTCCAAGAAAAAGCAGCCTTTTTATCAGGACTGCTTATCAGTCTTGTAATATCAGGGAATGCAGTAGAACCTAAATAAAGCCCATAAAAGCTTTATTTACACCAAGCACTTGGCTCAGCTGATTGACATGTAGGCTGTGCTTGTATCTGATCTAATACAGGGTAGGAGACAGAGGAAGAGGATTCCTGGGAATAATGATAACAGAAAACACTGACTACTTCCACTTTCCAATGTTTGAACACGTTTGCTTCTAAATGTTTATATAAATTATCTCCTCGCTTAGGCATTGTTATTATTCTGACCTCAAAGATGACAATCTGAGACTTGGAGGTATTAAGCAATGACTTGAGGTTCCATAATAGTAAGTGATGGACCCATATTTAAACCTAAGTTCAGCTCTAGGCCCTGGATTCCTAAATGAAGATCAGTTTAGCTACCTCCTCTAGGCTAAATTGCTTTCAGTCTCAGATCTCAGCCTTCATGAATGCAAAAGAAGGGAATTAAAGAGCTTTTTAAAAACTGAGGCACTAGTGAGATGTCTCAGCAGTTAAGAGCACTTGATGCTCTTGCAGAGGACCAGAGTTCAGTTCTCAGCACCCATGTGGTAGCTCACAACCACCCATAACTCCAGTTCCAGGGTATCTGATGATGTTTTTTGGCCTCTGAGGGCACAAGACACATATGTGGTACACACACATACATTCATCAAAACACTCATACACATGAAAATTTTTTTAAAAATCTTCATGTAGGGGCTGGAGAGATGGCTCAGCACTTAAGAACAAGGACTGTTCTTGCAGAAGAACAGGTTCAAATCCTAGCACCCACATGGCAGCTAACAATTGTGTGTAACTCCAGTTCCACGGGATCCAGCAGCCTCTTCTGTCCTCTGCAGGCATTGCATGACACGGGTGCACTTACCTACATGCAGGCAATAAATGCATACACATAAAATAAAAATAATAATAAATAAAATTAAAAAAAAATCTTTTTGTAAAATGAACTGGTCAAAGGGCTCAGCAGGTAAGTGGGCCTGCCACCAAGACTTAAGACCTGTGCCTGATCCCCAGGACCCACGGCATGAACATAAAGAACCAATTCCTGCAAGTTGTCCTCTAATCTCTATATGCACACAGTGGCATTCATGTGAGTGCATTTGTATGTGAATGTGGACACACAAGCACACACAGACACACACAGACACACACAGACACAGACACATACACACATACAGAGACTTAATAAATAAAGCATAAAAAGAAAAGCCAGAGAACTTGTAGCACAAAGACTGTATCCTGCCTGCATGCATTATTTTTTGAGGTCTCTGTAGTGTTTATTTTTTCCCCTGAATATCAACATCTATAAACTAAGAATTAGTTATGAAAAATATGTATAATTGGAAGATATAGCCAGAATGGTTGCTATGGTTTGAATGTTTATCTACTCTAAAACTCCTATTAAAATACTGTGATAGTATTAACATGTTAAACATTTAAAGAAAGAAAAGGTGGAACATTAGCTGAGTATGGTGGTTCACACTTGCAATCCTAGTACTTGGGAAACTGAGGCAGGAGGATTATTGTGAGTTTGAGGCTGGCCTGGACTGCATAGTGAGCTCCAGGTCAGCCTGAGCTACCTGGAGCTAGAATTAGAGCCCCCCCCCGCCACTGTTAAAAAATTCAAAAATAAATAAACAACAAAACCCCCAAACCACAAGGTGGAACATTTAAGAGGTGACTGGACCCTCATGGTAGACTTTTTGCTTTTCTAACAGGCCCCTGTCCTACTTTTTGTGTCTCAGCCTTCTGCCTTCTTCCATGTGAGAATATGGCAAGATGGCTGTTCTTGTATAGCAACACCCCCCAGCCTCTGGAAAGATGAAAAAGTAGTTTCTGCTCAATAAAAACTACTGAGCCCCACATGTTCTGTTACATCAGCACACACAAAGATACTGGTATAAGCTTCTCATGGGCAGCAACTGGAACTAAAAAGCCACTGCCCATTCTGGACAACCACAAAGTCTGCAGGCTGTCATAGTCATCAGCACTTTGCATCTGTTACACAGACTTGTGTCCACTTCAGGACCTTCAGGCCTCCTGTTTACACACTTTCCTGGAGAGCTCCCTGTATCATTCATGCTCTTCCTTCTTTGATAACCCCATTGAGATGTCACCTAAGGTGGATTTTTATGACCTTTCTAGAAAATGAGAAACCTCTCTTGTTTGCCCCCTGGCTCTCTCCAATCCTCTCACTTCTCTGTCTTTTGCTTTGTAATGCTTTATTACCACTTGCTGTGTTTGTTGGTTTCTGTGGGGCAGAATAACCAAGTGGCTACAGATAGGAACCAGATTCACACTTCTGCATCTGATCCCAGAGTTTGGACAGTCCAGCAATATAACTTTAGCATAGCTGTGTCTATAAAGATGGGGTTAATAAATTCACAAGATTCTGGGAATTTCTCTTTTAATGGGTTATTTCATGGGTTATTAGAAAGTTAAGGTGAATTAGAACCATGCTTAGAATTGGTATCTGTAGTATTTACTGAATAGACTGAGTCACTTTAATTCACTTATGTGAGTGGGCAGTTTAGTTTGTGATTCTGAGGCCAGAGTTTCTCCTTTTAAATCTATATCCTAAATAGCTTACAGAATATTCTGGGCTTCAAATGTTCTAAAGTCAATCTCTTAATGATTACCTAAATAAGGATTGAAGGGACCCAGAAAATTTAATAAAATAAGAAAGTAAACCCCTACCATAACACCTTCAGTATTCAGGAGAAGGGAATTCTGGAAGGGGTAAGTTTGATATAAGCAAGAGACTTTTGTAATGGG